AATGAGCTAACTCAGTAATCATCTCTGTCATTATACCTCTCAAAAAGTATTTAAATTCGCGCACTGTTTACTTCGTTTACGTAACTTTCGTCATCCTTTTGAAGTAAAAAAAAAAGACTTTTATTGTTAAAAGGACAATGAGATCAGAATCCCGTAACTGTCGTAACTATTAAACAGATCATATATAGAGATTCTGTAGACACTCAACTCAAAATGAATCCCTTTCTTTAAGAAGTGTTTGTATGCTATACGCAAGGACTGTAACTGACCAATACATCTATAATCTTTCCACACTACTTCAATAGTTTTTTTTCTTTGAATCCTGGAGCGTTTGCATGGCAGTAGCAATGAAGAACTCCTTCCTAATTTCTAAGCTATTTGTCACCACTTTGAATACGTGCTAGTTTATTTTTAACAGTTCCTTGTGGTTTCAGTAGACATCTAGAATTACCATTGATAAATGGTATAATGCTTTAATAACTGGATTTATATAATATGGGGAGAAAGAATCGGTCATACGGGATTGAAATTTGTCATTTTTACAACAGTTTAAAAATGAAAACAATACACAACTGTTCTGAGATTATGATTTTACAACGTTGACTCTACCTATGTATAGCTTAATAACGCTGGGTTCACACACAAATACCTAGCATTCTTATAGTACAGATATGCATAACAACGTTGACACTGTTAAATACAAATTTGATAGTACAAATAGATAGTACAATAGATGGCCCTTACGAATGAGTATATGATACATGACAAACGTGTATACTTACTCGCTTCCAAGTGTAAATGTAAGCAATATCCATCAGTTTGTAGTCATCGCGTAGTGAATCGTCGTAATACATGAGGTCAACCTGGAAAGGAAAGGATTCTATTACAATATAGATAAACTGACTACATGGGTTGAATGTTGAATATATGTATAGAGGGCGTGTTTCATGTAACAATAAAAAATAAGTATCTGTGTTTTCAATAAAAACTGAACACAGCTTATACACCATTATTGTCAAAGCAGGTTCCATGACAGTGTAACAATCAACGGAAGGCATATACCGTGTCACTCCAGTGAAGTGTGAAGCAACAATTCAATTGGACTACAAGTTCGAGTTCAAGAAAATCAGCTAATAAAGCATTTGATGAACTAATAAATCTGGGTAAATCATTTATTCCATCTCGTCTTTTAATAATAAAGGAAGAAGTGCGAAAATAGTTGATACATATGAATGGAAGCACATTATACTAATATAACAGTAACTTGACAACGAACGATTTATAAGCATAACGAAGTGGTTTTACTTCGGAGGAACATACTGCATGTTTCGACAAAACATAAGATTGAAAAAGACAGTTTGTTTTTAATTATGCACAAAGCTACACAAGGGCTATCTGTGTTCTGCCCACCACGGGTATCGAAACCCGGTTTCTAGCGTTGTACGTCCGCAGACATACCGCTGTGTCACTGGGGAGCCGAAGAAGACAGACCAACGAGTTGTTTTTATCTTCATGTAAGAGAATCACAGCTGTATTTACTTATAATCTTCGTTCCACACGTAATACTTGTAACAGAAACAAAAAATCCTCACAATTAGAAAAAAAAAGATTCAGTAATTTGTAATTGATTAACTGTAAAACTTTCAACAACCATTCATATTCTTGCATTGTATTTTTCTCCATTACGCTAATTAGTTTAGTTATCCAGTTGTTTAAAGCCATGGGCACAAAAGATAACGGGAAATGCTTAAAAGTGAATTTGGTTGACTGCATACTGAAAATAAATGCGTTTACATATATATATATATATATATCTTATATACCTACTTATTCTTTCACAGACACATCTAAGCCATGAGCTTAGAAAGATATTGTTCATTTGAGGAATTATGAATGTGTTTTGAAACTATCTCTTGATTGAAGAAGACAGACAAATGTTCCATCTAGTATGTTCCTCCAGAGTAAAACCATTTCATTATGCTTATAAATCGTTGTCTATCAACTTATTATAGTTTATTAATACTTTAATATGTTTCCTCTACCTCATAACACACTCGGGATAACGGGAAATGCTTAAAAGTGAATTTGGTTGACTGCATACTGACAAAAAATGCGTTTACATATATATATATATCTTATCTACTTACTTATTCTTTCACAGACACAGTACGCAAGGGTTTTCTTTTAACAAGCGATCTCATTGAATGGGATCAGACTGTAGTCGACAACTGAAAGAGCACTTTTCTTTTATCAGGTTTTATCGGGGACTATGATCAAACTGATGTATTGTTCATCATTTTATTAAGAAATCACATCTTCTCGTGAGGATAAATAAAACTAACAAAACTATAACGATTTCTCATTGTATTTCTCCCTTCATAGCCCTTAGCACAATAAGCCTCACCACACAAGTATATGATATTACAGCACAGTCCCAGCAGGCACAATGCGTATATTTATACAAGCACGCCACGCCAGACACAACCTCACTTATTGAAACACGCGCTTCCTTCCGCACTGTCAGGAAAACTACTAACCCCACTCACTCCCCCTACACGTGGGACCCGCCCTTCAGGGCGCCCGTCTACACCCCCAGCTCTACTGGTGCAATCAAAAGATCCACAAAGACGTGTTGGCTGTCAATGAAAATTGCCAATAGCGATTGGTCAGTAACAGTGTCAGTTCTGTTTGACAGTCCTACCCTGTACATAATTAAGATCTATATATGTATATAGACGTTTCTATCGTTCGTGTTTTTCACTAGTTGATGCTGTTCTTGACGAGTTGTTTGATCTTCACGTGAAAGAATCATAAGTGTGTTTACTCATATTGTTCGTTCCACACGTAACAGTTGTAACAGTAACGAGAAAATCCACACAATTAGAAAAAATAACTTGTGTACCTGACATTAAAAGATTTAGTAATACGTAAGTGACTAACTATAAAACTTTCAACAACCATTCAAATTATTGCATTGTTTTTCTCTTTATCACGCCAATTAGTTTAGTTATCCTGCTGTTGTTTAAAACCATAGGCACAAGGCTTTGAAAGGTATTGTTCATTTGAGGTATTATGGGATGTGTTTTGAAATTATCCCTTGCAGTTTTAAGCGTTTTTTTTTATGTATGTGGGGGAGTCGTATATAGGTAAGCGTCAAGTACTGGATATTAGGGGTCATTCAATTAATTCTTAATTTGTTTAATCACGTCAGTAGACAAGCGCACGTGATTTTTAACTTAACTCTAACCCTATAAATATGTTTCAGTAATCCATATTAATTCGAGTCTTTTTAACATTTCTCTAGAAAAATGGCATTTTAAGGCTTCAAAATAAATGATATAATTTCTATACAGTATTCAGAAATACAGGAATTTCAATAATAAGCAACAGTCAATTTCTCATACAAAAGAAATAGCAAAGTTATCACAAAATCGTCCAATACCATAACTGGACGAGATAAAGTTTTACTACATTTTAAATAATTGTTTGATGATAAAAGTAAATACCTACTAATCTAATTTATGGTCTGAGATAAAAATTTTATATTCGTAAAATATTCTTCAGAAAAACTAATGAAGTTAAGTAATTCGTTGATTTCGTGATTCTACTAAGATCTTCATTGAAAGGATTAATTCCGTTTCGATTCTGGGAGTTGTTGATTCTGTGTATTAAATATCTAATGTTATCTGCTAAATAAAACAACAACAAAACAAAAACAAAGATATCAGCAAGGCACGTGACAATGAGGTTCAATCCATGAAAACACACTATTATATAAAACGTACTTTTTTATGCAATGATTTGTCACGTTATTTTTGTTTTTAACAGTTGCATAGTACGATACACTTATTTTATTTGTTATTTATTTATGTATTTATTATACAGCCTTCGATAACAAATCTTTTAGAAGAAAGAAAATATTGTTATACAATAAATAATGAAACTGTCTTCTTCCTGTAAACGGTGAAGTGATTTTCAGTGCTTCTAACACATAAATATTACCAGCTCTAAGAAACTACTTATAGTACTGGTCATCTCTGAAGAAGACAGACCGATGTTCTGTCGAAACATGTAACATGTTCCACCATCAATAAAATTCTTGCTCATGCTTATAAATCGTTGTTTGCCTATCTTTAATTTAATGTGTACTTAGAAAAATACCATACGTTTACACCCAGCAGCAAAGTTGGCTCTAAACGAATAGCAACGTCCCTGTTTAAAATGCACAAGTGAAAATACCATTAGTACACATCGAAACAACAACAAATAATAATAAAATCCTCAGTTCACATATGATTTGTATTCCATTGTCAAAACAAGAGCAATCAGAGAGATTGCATACCCTCGCCGTCCTTTTCCAGATTGCATGCGTTTATATTGAATAACGTCAAATTTCACCTTCGAAAACACGGAAAATCCTTCTCAGATTTAGAATGATGAACGCTCCGGACCATTTTAGTAGTGTGATGAGGAGTTCAACCTTAATGTTCCCATGAAATTTGGTACAAATGCGATTACACTTTACAGAGTTATTAACCCAAAACCGCGAAAATGCTCTATCTCCCCATTATAAAAATGCTTCAAAGTGATCCAAAATCCGGATCCGAACCAAATTTGGGAAGAACTTTCCCATACTGACTTCCCATCTTGTGTAAAATTGTCGTGTACCTAGGTCTACTAATGTTTGAGATACGCGAATGGAAACACAGACAAACAGACACACACACACGAACTCGATTGCAATACCCTTACCCTCCGGAGGGTGGGCGAGGGTAATAATGTGTTTAAAAACTATGTTCTTTACATCAAATAACTAATAGTTATTTTATTCCGAAGACTTACGCTTAAAAAAATGACAACATGCTTCTCTGGTCTATGCACAAGCTGTATTCGATATAGAAAACATGCTTCCCTGGTCTATTCACAAGCTGTATTCGATATAGAAAACATGCTTCCCTGGTCTATTCACAAGCTGTGTTCGATATAGAAAACATGCTTCCCTGGTCTATTCACAAGCTGTGTTCGATATAAAAAACATGCTTCCCTGGTCTATTCACAAGCTGTGTTCGATATAGAAAACATGCTTCCCTGGTCTATTCACAAGCTGTGTTCGATATAGAAAACATCTTCCCTGGTCTATTCACAAGCTGTGTTCGATATAGAAAACATGCTTCCCTGGTCTATTCACAAGCTGTGTTCGATATAGAAAACATGCTTCCCTGGTCTATTCACAAGCTGTGTTCGATATAGAAAATAACTAACTGTTCTTATAATACATTTTTTACAGAAAATGTTGCAGTTGCTCAGTTCTAGTACAATATCATCAGTAATATTTGATGAAAAGCAAGCTAATTCTATATTTCAAAACTAAAAGGTAACTTATTAATTAATAAAGTTAACTATACATAATTACAAATTGACTAAAGTACATAACGCCATTAATTAGTACATAAGAAAACTAAAAAATAGAATATAACATGGATATATTGAATCGTCAATCCTCACTATATTTTCAGCTGTAAATCCATTAGCATCACACGAGAATCGGTTAGCATAAGAGATTTAGGTAATTCTTATAAAAGTAAAATTAATAACCATATTAACGAAATTAACGTTAAAGAAAAATGCAGTGTGCAATTGCTTACAAAACTCATACAAAGCAGATATTTGGCCTTGTATTTTGTGTCTTGGATTTCAATATATAGAATAATTATCTATTTTGTTTTAAGGCTATTTCCTATACCAGTGAGAAACTATTCTTAATATATTAGAGGGTTTTATAGACAAAATAACTGTCTGCACATGATCTGATTTACAGTTGTATTTCAGGTAAAAAAAAATGACTAACTTTCCTAGTCTATTT